GCCGCAGGCCCGGGCCCCCCAGCCCTCACCCCTGTGTGGGCCGGCTGGTGCGCAGCGAGCCAAGGTGCGCACGGCTGTATTAACTAAGCGCAGTCCTTGGTTTAATTGAACATACTCTTAAGCTTTTCTGCCCCTGTCACCCTCCTGCTCTTTTCCCTGCCTCCTACCTAACACACCTCCTCCCTTTTGTCTGTTCTTCCTCCACCTCTTCAGTCTTCTTCACTCAACCCTTCCCCTCCCTCCTGCCTTCCCGCTCCTTTTTTCTCCCACCTCTTTCCTCCCCTCTTCCCTCCTTTTGTCCCCTTTCTCTGTCCTCTTCCTTTCTCCTCTCACTGATCTTCTTTCCCCTCTCACCCTTTCTCTTCCTCCTTATCCCCTTCCTCCAGAAGTTCTCATACCGTCTGGGGCATAGGAAAAGCCCTAGTGTCTTATCTCTCCAACTCGAACGTAAACTTCAGTGAAAACAGCGGACCCTGTCTTGGTGGCCTTGGCATGCAGTAGGTACTAGTGGTCTTTCACACAATACCTCATTTAACTCTCACAGCGACCCTGCAAGGTGTGCACTGATACTCCCCATGATTCATCAAGGGAGCTGAAGCAGAGTGGGTAGGGAACATGACCAAAGGCACACAGCGACTGACCTGAACCTAGGCTGTCCGGATGCTTCACACCCTGCTTCAGAGAAGGCAGGCCCAGGGCAGCCCACACTACTGTATGGCAGCATGAAGCCCAATGGCTGGGTGGGGCAGGTTTCCAGAAGGGTAACGTGCAAAAGATCTCTACAAGAGAGCCGCTCATTCTATACAACCGAAAACTACGGTGAAGCTTTAAAAAAGTATTTTTGGATAACTTAGTGATGTGGAAAAATGTTCACGATGTTATATAGTATTTAAAGAGCAAAAATAAAAACACTTTATTATTCAGATAATACAGGTCTTCATACTTAGGTAGATGATTTTATTTTCCCTCTCCCTAATTAGAATGTGAGTCCCTGGAGAGCAGGGTTTTTCCTCACCCCATGTTCTCCAGGTTTAGGGAGAACAGTTCATTGGATGAATGAGCCAATAGAATGAGCAAGATATCTCAGAGATACTGACCACCATACTGAAAAAGCAATCACGCAGTCATTAAAAGTAATTTCAAGATTTTTGGTGATAAAAATACTCTTGTTACCCATAATAAGTACACAAGAAAAACTTTCTGAAATGTAAAGCCCTACCTAACCAGGACATAGTTAAATGTTACTGTTATTCTGTAGTTTGTATCATGGGGGGGTGGAGGGTCTTCCTTTATAGTTTGCCCAATACACAATGAAGTCATAATATGCTCTTCAAACCACATTCCCCAGACACTTTCCACAGTTACATCTTCCACAGAGTTACAGCTCCTGAGAAAATCAGGGAGTGTGGTAAGGACCTGAATTCTGGCATAGTAACACAGGCTGCAACGGGGCCTTGATGAGGTGGTCTGATAACCCCTTTCAGAAGGTCCTGAGGTGGCCCTCTCATCTTGTCTCTGAGTTTGCAAATCTTAGAGAATGCTTTTCCACATATGGCCTGAGGAAGATGTGGGATTTCAACTTGGTTCTTTAAAAAAGTATGTGTCTATATCATTTTACTTATGTGCATAAGAAATCAAGTTCTGGAAAAGGATGTAAGAACATAGTAATGATCTCTCAGAGGGGTGAGATTATGAAACTTAGATTTCTCTGTATAATAAAACATGTCTACTACAAATTCTTAAAAACCATCAATAAAATATTTTTTGAAAAATTAAATTTTTAGTTAATGTATTACAATGTGAGAAAATGCCCCCAATAAAACACTGAATAAAAGGGAATACAAAACTGAATCAGTGGTATGATTCTAATTTTGTGGTTAGTATATGCACAGGAGGAAATAGGTGCATGTGAAAAGCAGAATGAGGATAGCAATCTCTGGGTAGAAATCTCCTTTATAGCTTTCTGAATTTCTAATTTTTCTGATACAGATTTTGTATTCAAAAAAAGAATGTACAAAAGTAGAATAAAACAAGCACCTTTTTGGAAAAGGCTTCCGTTTCAGACAAGTGGAAGTTCCTGGGAGTTTCTTGGTGTAATGTACTTGCCCCAGGGCTCCCTGCCCCACCCTGGTTGTCCTGCCAGGCCAAGCCTACAGGTGTTGGCCTCTGCTTGCCTTGGACCCCTGCTTGCTCAAGGCCGTGCTCTTGGCTCCACAC